CATGCCCTATGGCGCCTCACCTCATAATGTCATACCCTATGGCTCCCCACACCATGATGTCATACCCTATGGCTCCCCACACCATGATGTCATACCCTATGGCTCCGCACACCATGGTGCAAGGAGTAACGCCGGTGTGTCTCTCTGCAACATTGGCAGGGTTGGTCCTCTCCCCTTGGCACTGCCATACACGCACACGACGGTCATCCATGGTAATGCAGAACTGAGATTCATCACTGGACATGGTACGACGCCACTCATCATCAGTCTATGCCTCCCGGTTATGGTATCACTCCAAACGCAGCCGTCTCTGCGCTGGTGTTAACGGCAGCCTATGCATGGGACGGTTAACCCGTATTCTGGCTTATATTGTATATTGGCGCCACCTTGCGGCATAGTTCATATCGTATTTTTCTTTTACTAAAAGAAACATTTTGTTACTACATGTCCTCAAATGGCACAGAACTTAAAGTTTACTTAAATGATTTTCTGGATTAACCGTTCAGCGTTGAAAGAGAATTGTAAATCCACCTTTAATTGCACGCATGATTTATTTTTTATACTTTCCATTATTAGATCAGAAAATTGTCAAAGGAAAAAAAATAAAAATAAACACATCACATAAACACTTTATTCTTCTTTCAACAGACACTTTATATCATACTTACCAAGACTGTGGATATGACGGTATTCCCTCTATGAGTTATGCAGTGTTACTATAAAAGCGAATACCTTTATTGGCCAAACCACTTTAATCCAAAGATCAAAGGAGGAATATAAAAATTATAAATGATACAGAATTACAAAAAGTTCGCGATCTACCACAGATCCATTTGACGCAGGGTCGCCAACCCTCCAGCATCTGGCGTGACGCTCACGCTTTCAGACTCTCACGCTGACGCAAGAAATCTTACGGCAAATCTATATTGTTATATATTATTCCATTATAAACCTAAAATTGGCTACATCAAAAGCCTAGGGGGAGTTTGCAAACCCTACCCTATTTACAAGGTAATAAATCTGTTATATACACGTAATGCGTGTGCATGTGTGAGCAGACTTGTCTCGAAAATCTCACTCCAGCCAGGTGACCAAAGTCTGCAACCCTGTTATCAGTGGCCATTATTCTGTCCTTCATGCTTCTACCGCATTTTCGCGTTTCATGAACTGCACACCGCTGACCGCTAGATGGCAGTAAATGTGCGCACTCCACGAGTGTAACCATCCCTGTTTCATCCATTTACCTTCGTCGTGAATCGCTCTTTAGGGTGGG